CCTGTCTGCACCAGCTGTTAGTGTTGTCTTCAGCTACTGGTGATGTGTAGCACTGGGAAAATGCAACCCTTTGCCTTGCGTTTCCTCACCTCCTTCTGGGCTCACGTTCATATTTGCACACATGTGTGCCAATGTCACAAAATGTATTGACTTTCACCGTTAGGATTTCTCAGTTGATCTCTGCTGTCACGAAGAATCTTAGGCAACGTCTCTAGAGCAGAGGCGTGCACTTCTTTAAGAGTGAGAGGCATTCGTCTTTCTAGCAAATGCACACGAGCAAGTTGTTGAAATCCTCAGCTTTAATACCAGTCCTGTAGCTTTCCAATAAATAGTGACAGCACTTTTAAGGAGCAGCGCCTTATCTGAAATACCGTTCACACTGTTATTGATTAATTAGGTGCTTTCATGTTTAGAGACATACTCCGAACAATGTGTAACAGTGTTCAGCAAGCTGGACAGTTCCCATTTGGGGCTGATGGGATTTGTCCTTGTTGTGGTTTGGTGAAGCTGGGGTCCAAATATTTCTGCTGGTGCTCAGCCTTGAAAGGGTCTAGTGGGGTAAGAAAACCAGGGATGGAGAAAGTAAGTAAGTTAACCCACTGAAACTCTAGCCCCTGGAAGCCCTGCTCAGTCTGGCTTCTAAGATTTCGCCAGACAGTTGCCTGCTCCCCCCTCCCAGTTTAACAGCTCCCTCTCCCCATGGATGGAGCACCGAGGCTTCGTTCCACCACCTTCAGCCAGCCTTACAGAATGGCTTCTTGGCTCGTCTAGTTTTGTGTAGCTCAGGTACCAGCCGGGTTGAGGCTTCAGCCTTTCTTGCCTATCCATGCACTCTGCTCCTGCCTTTCTCAGGGAGACCTTTGCTCTTAACGTGGATCTCAAAGCACAGGCGTTTGCCCTTCTGCCTTGGGGAGGTGTCCCATTGGAATCGCCTCAGCCTGGCAGTCACCAGTTCACACGTTTTAGGATTTGTCCTGCTCTGGTTGGCTGGGAGCCAAAAGCTCCACAAAGCAAGAACCAATTCAGTTACGTTTTTAAGAATGTGCACATTTAAGTACTGCTGTAACCAAATACAAAGTAGGGGGGCATCTTAGGCCAAGAATGAGTGTCAGAGCAGCAAGTTGCTCCCCATATGTGAAAATAAGAATATGAAAGTTGAACACATGCAGTTAGGCTCATGAACAGACACATCATTCTCTAACCTTGTTGCATACATTTGAATAGCTTTTGAATTGGCCTCTTCTGTCAATTAATGAGTGCTTTATGACTGTTGATTCCTAAATGGGAAGGCTCCTAGCAAGCAGAACTCCTGCCTTTGTGAATTCTTGAAGACAGTGTTACCAAAAGACCTTTCTCCACTTTGAATGAATGGGTATTATTTTTGCGCTCATCCCCCTTGTCTCAAAACGTTTGGTCCATTACTGCAGGTGTAGCTATGATTATATCTGGCCTCTGCCTCACTTTAGGCTAACCTGAGTTAGGTCTGGGTTTGTTTTTTTACCTTTTTCTGATCCCCTTTAGTCCATGTTTATAGTGGCATTTTGCTGAATTCAGGGAGCGTTGGGGCTGAGTGCCTGGTTTGCCTGCTCTGCTTGCCAGAAATCCCAAGCTTTCTGCATCTCATTGTGTATGTGGAGGAGGCCATCATAGTCACACCAGGTGCGCTGACAGACCACTAAAAGTGCAGGTGCCAAAGCGGGAATGTGTGTGGGATTCAGTGTGCTTCCGTTACAGATGTTCCACCTGTGCAAGCCTATCAGCTTGTCAGATGGATCTATGCCTCCTCCCCTCCTCCACGATGTTCTGGGGTTCTCCTGACCCCCCCCCTTAAGCCAATTTTAGGGGACGGGTGGGGGGAGTGAAGAGAAGGAGCCCCATGACTCAGGCTTCAGCTGACAGAGTTCATTAGGTGACTTCTGTCTTCTGCAATGAAAAGAATTAAAATTCTGCACCCAGAATTCTGCACCCTATATAAAATTGTGTGGATTGGAGAGGCTTGCATAATTCATTCTGGTTTTGCCAGCCAGGGGGAAAGGCAGTGATTTGTACATGGCACTGATGTCTTGCTGACTGAAATCTTACTCAGCCACCTTCAGAGATTTCCAGCAGTCATTTCCCAAAATGTATATCAAGCATATCTTCACAGCAATAAGGGCTAGCAATCTGATTTTTAAAAAATTAAAAGACAAGTTTCTCAAGCAGATGTATTCTTTGCTCCTGCAAGAGTTGCAACACATGCAGGGATTGCGTGCGCCCAGTTTTTGCAAACCACCTGATTGCTGAGATAATCCCTGCTATTCCAAAGGGGTTGTCAGGATCTTCACGGGTGGGCCAGCCCATGCAGAACAGTTTTGCATTTAAGCCACCATGCGGCCTTTGCCAACCTGGTGCCCTCCAGGTGTTTTGGATTACAACTCGCATCAGTCCCAGCCAGCACAGCTGAAGGGCAGCAGCTTGGTGAAGCAGAGCATTGTATCTTCTTTTTTGAAGAGGGATGGTGGTGCTCCCATACCTTTTAAAATGGTGCCCTTGACCATCGATCAGCCAGGATGCTGGTGTTTCAGCTTCAGCCGGCTGAATCACAGCATTTTCCCACAATGAGCTCTTACGTTTTGTGCAATAATCACAGAGTCAGAGGCTCTAAATGTCACGAGCGCTTGGGGTCCCTCCCCGCAAATTCTGCTCTCAGTCGCCTCCTATGTGGCACAGCCATCAAGCCTCTTCCACTGCCGCCTTTAAGAGTTTTCTGGGTGCCCACTTCCCCCCACAATGCCTTCCTTTTGCCCCTTCCTAGACTGGGCGGCATCTGCTTAGCAACTGTCACCTCGGCCCTGAAGCTAACGCCTCACCTGTCAGGCTGGGGAATGTGATACTCAAGAGTGGCTTGAGTTTTACACCTGACAGTTACCGTATTTTTCGCCCTATAGGACGCACTTTTTCCCCTCCAAAAATGAAGCGTCCCATGGGGCGAATGCAGGCTTTCGCTGAAGCCTGGAGAACAAGAGGGGTCGGTGCGCACCGACCCCTGTCGCTCTCCAGGCTTAGGGAAGCTATCCGCAAGCCTTGGGAGCCCGCGGGAGTTCCCGCCGGGCTCCCAAGGCTTGCGGACAGCAGCCTGCAGCCTTGAAACCCAGGGAGTGTATCGGAGCGCGCCCCGGGCTTCGGGCAGATATCCGCAAGCCTGGGGAGACCGGCGGGAGTTCCCGCGGGCTCCCAAGGCTTGCGGATAGCAGCCTGTTCTGGGGTCGGGGGAAGCCCCACACCTGGGGGGGGGAAATAATTTTTTTTCTTTACCCCCCCCAAAAAAAACCACTAGGTGCGCCCTATGGTCCGGTGCGCCCTATAGGGTGAAAAATACGGTATAAAACAGATTGTGTCCTTAAAAAGCTGATACCTCAGTAAATGTTAGTCTCTAAGGTGCTCATGCACTTTCTGCTGCTACAGACTAATGCCCCTGCTCTTCTGGGGTGTGTGTGTTTGTGTGTGTATTTGACCGCTCACCTGTGGTGTGTTCTCAGAGGAGTCCCACAGCTTGCCTCTTGACCGCTCTGAAATAGCAGTTTCACAGTCAAGCAAGGAGTAGGGGTACAGGAGTCGACCCTGAATTAGTCAAGGAAACAGAGCACCTCAGTGACGTGGATAAATGCGTGTTGGAACACTGTAGTTTGTATATTTTTTAAAAGCTGTTTCTACTGGGGGTAGTTTTAGGAATATTTTAAAAGAAACGAGTGCCTGTGCAAATAAATGGGCTGCTCAATGAAACTGACTTTCTTAGTTGTGAGTTGATTGAAGGGAGTGGGGAGATGTTGCCATGCTGGAAATGCGTAAAGAAAAGCATTCCAAACTCTTGTATTGACTCCCCTCCAATCTCTCTTGCTTGTTTAACCACCATCTTTAAACAGGTATTAACTAGTGTGTGAGAAAAGGTTATTTTTCCAAATTCCTGCCATCTCTCCTCATTCACATGTTACGCAAACGAAAAGTGCTTTCTCTGGCTTGTACTCTTTGTACCAGGTTTTGCATATAAAGTGTACGTCTAATACCATCCGACTTCAGGAAAAAAACCTTCCTCTTCCCCTTCATGTTCACCTTTATAATTCTCCTTTTATATATGTGTGTGTCTTGTTTGTGGGGGAAGGGGGGGTTGATTGTCGGTTGCTCTTTTTTTAACATGTTGATTAAATAAAGTTCCTGTCCTGGAGTCTGGCTGGCTTGTTGTTCACTGTGTCACACATGCAGCTGTTTGTCCGATCCAGCGGTGGGCAGCTCAGAGATGTGTTTCCTTAGGAATGCATCCTGAAAAGTAGGACCTTGGCTGGCATGCATGCCACATGCCACATTTGCACGTCACTTCCATCTTCATAAAGTACCAAACTACATATCGCATTTCTGCCGGGATAGTATTGCTGCCCAGTGATCGCCTTCAGCTTTAAAAAAGAACCAGAACCAGCCATTTGATTGCCAGGGGTGGGCAGATGGACAAATATTGTCCTACTGGCTGAGAAATTGTGTGCATTAGAAACCACAGTGGCTGCATTTTTCATCCTTTAGTGCTTGGGACCGTTGCGTTTCTCAGGTGTAACCTCGAAGGTCCCAAAATGAAAGTTTAGATTCTAATAAAACCCCACAGTTCTCCCCCCAAAAGGCATACTGAGAACCAGCTTCTTAATTGCTGCCACAGCTGAGAGGCTTGAACATGTGAAGCTGCCTGGGTTCTAATTCAGAGCACTGGTCCGTGTTAAGCCGGCTCTGCGTAGGCTGAGCAGCAGAGAAGAGGCCTCTTTAGAAGTGGAAATGCAATGGGCTGGGCGTGGGACTTTTTTGCATGCAGACCATGAGCTCTACCGCTGAGCCGCACCACCCTCTCATTTTATAACATTCCATTTTTGGCACACGTACGCACACACATTTGCTTTAATTTAGTTTCCTTTTTTTTTGGCGTTGTTTTAGTTTTCATCCCTTTTTTTTCCTTTATGTCTTTTTTGTGTTTTCCCATGTAGGAGCGATTATGTTTGCCTCTGCACATATTAGAAGAGAGAGGGTTGACGCGAGTGGCAGAGACTGTACAGGCACTTCTGGAGCGGGCCCCCCCAAAACCACAGCACCACCACCAGCAGCAACAGCAGCAGCAGCAGCAGCAGAATCAGCTGGCTGCTGTGTAGTGACCCCCCCGAGACCTTGTTGCTTTGTCCTTGGCCAAGCCGAAGAATGCCCGGACTTGACTGCTGGGGCAGCGTGTCCAGACACAGGCAACCTTGCGTTCGAAGGAGGAAATCTGTATCCGGGATTCCTGAAGGGAATAATTTTTGCTTCATTTCTCCACTTTTTTTGGAGGTCGCAAAAGTTTCCATTGAACTTAAAGAGAAAATAATTCTTTGTAAAGTGAGTTTTGCCTGCACACGTGGGAGGGAACCAGGGGCAGATTTCACCTCCTCTCTCATTCATTTCTCAATAAGGTCACAGTAGAATTGGGGCAGCGAGTGGGAGCCTTTGAAACTACCCCCCCCCCCCCGAAAAAACACCATATGTTTAAAAAACTGTGGGGTGGCTAGTATGTCGTATTCAGATAGGAAATATCTTTTGGTTTCTTTGCAATGCTCTCATTCGTTTCAGCACACAGGGCATTTCTTGTGGATTAGACCCACCTGAACACACACATACTCCTCAGCCAGGACTTTGGAAGCGCACATCTAAGAGTTAGGTTTATGTTCTAGCTTCAACATCACTCCCATCGGACGTATGTATAGGAATACTTTTTCACACAGGTTCTTCCTCTGGCATTCTGTGTCCCAGCACAGCGCAAGAAATTAATTGTAGCATCCATCTACTCGTAACTTGGTAACTCGCGGTTTCCTGAAAGAGCAATTCCTGGTACGACTTTTAATTTTCATTGTCAAATCATCCTACAAAGAAACTGCTGTTTGGAGGTAAAATAGCAGAGCCCTTGACCTGTGCTTTTCAAAAATGATCTGTTAACTGGGTAGGAAAGTGGATCATTGAAGTAAACGGAGACCAATGGCTCTGTTGCAGAAAGAGAAAAAAGTGCTCTTTGGTGGATTTGAAAGAACAGTTTTTAAGGGTAATTCTTTTCATGAAGTTAATCCAGCATTTCCTTTTCTGCATTCTTCTGCCATCTGTCCTTCCCCTTTATTCATTGCTTCTCTCACGTGTTCAAAACCTGTAGCTTTGGAAAGTGTGCAAGGGCAGATGAAAACCATGTTAGCAGTTTCTGAAGACTGGATCTGCCCAGCATGCACCGTAAAAATGAGCTGAGAGGTGCAGACTGGCAGTCGTGCAGTTCCTGCAGCTTCACTCCTGCCCCAGATGTTGCCTTATCATGGGCAATTTGAGGTTCATGTCTTGTTTCTCCAACTGGAATGCCTTTCAGACACTTATCTCCTCCCCCTGATGCTAACAGATTTCCAGGTGGAGCCAGCTGTGGGAATTGGTGGTCATGTACTGAAGCATTATGCTGATTCTGTGACTGAGAAGAACCGCAGGGAGGGAGCTGGGTAATCAGAATGCTGCTGGAAGCAAACCGTGTCATCACGTAGGTGAGCAATATTTGGGCAGCAGGGAGCAAGCCTGTGTGCTGGTTTCAGAGCCACACCCTATAGCCCCTTGCAGTATCACAGAGGATTTGGGGGGGGTGTACTTGGGGGCAGCGAAATCTTTGGCTGCCTCCATGCAGCATGTTCTCTTGTGGCGCCCATGCAAGGCACTGCTTTCGGTATTGATTCCTGGGGAAGAGAGGCCCTCGTGGCCTATATGTGAGGTTCACAAAATAAAGCAGAAAACACTGAATGTAATGACAGATGGCAGGAGGAGGTGATAGAATAGTTCAGCTGAGATGTGTAGACAATGGATTTTGAGGAATCTGGAAAAGAACCTCAGGCTGGCTGTGTTTTTGCCTTTGACATGCATCTCCTCTCCCCAAGTGTCGGTGGCGCTGTGTTGAAACAAAGCACAAATATCATTTTCCTGTTGGTTTCCCTGGGCTTTAGGTGGACATCGTCCTTTTTGCCATTCTCACACGCCCTCTGCAATCACTTCATTTCTATTTTGATGCCCTTCCTGGTTAATTTTGCCTTGCGAGGCTCTCGTGTCCTTGCAGGCTGCTTAGTTCCTTTTTGCTTCATGACCCCTGGCTCCCAACTCTCCTCTGAAGCACGCGAAGAATATTTTTAGCAAAACAGTGGCATATGGTTGAAGCAGCAGTTTTCTTCTAGCTCGGACGGCCTCAAGGCCTGCAGGGGCCACAGGACTGCCTGCCTCCTTGCTGATGCTGGGTGTGCCGTGTTTTGTGGGTGCGGTGTTGCCAGCCAGAAGCAATTCTTGAGGAACTACATCAGATGCAATAGCAGCATTGAAAGCCCTCTCTCGGTTTCCTTTGTGTTTCCGTTTGCCACCCCGCGGACCTCTGATTCAGATGCTTCACCAGTTCTGCCGCTGTGCCTGCTTCACCAATTCTCAGCCACTTGTTTTGTACACCTCTCTGGGTTTTCTGTTATTTATGCAAGCAGGACTGTCTCAAAGTGGAGGGAAGCATACTTAGCATAGCGAGGTGGGTAAGTGAGGAGAGATTTCATGAAGGTTAGTCTTTCACTCCCACACCTTTTTTTTTTTTTTAACGTATAACAGTTTGTAGGCTCCAGCCCAGTTACCAAAAATGAGCAAGTTCATCACCATATACTGTAAAAACATCTACCATGTCAAGGTCAATCCGTTACCTAGACAGCTCAGTCTGTATATTACGGTGGGTTGAGATACGGTATTTCCTGCAGCCCGGTTGTGTAGGTCATCTTTAACTGCAGGAGAAAAGCAGCAGTGTTTGGTAGTGCGGCTGAAGCTCCCAGCCCAATCCAGCAGGACACATGCAAGTGGTTGGCCGAAGGCCTTAAGGGCCAGAAATTCTTAGCATGCTTTGCGAGAGGACCCAGAAAGGACTGCATCCTACCAAAGACATGCAGCTGCCCTTGTGTGGGGCTGCAGTGGGTCTGCTGGTAAGCTGGGGGCTCTTCTGCCTGGGCAGTCGGTAATGCCCAGGGGTGTAACTGCCAGGAAATAATTAAGCACAATGCGGTGGTATTGCCTCTCACGCAAATCACCACCTATGACCAGGGCTAAAGCATATGACATGCTTTTTTAAAAAACAAACAAAGACAAATGCTCTGTTTTGTGTCGCTGCGTCATTTTGTGTCTCTTCACTTTATTATAATCTCATGATGGCAAGAGTTCCATGAATGGACATTAACGGCGTGAAGGAAATCCAGGTCCTTTCAGCCGATGGCATGTTTTATGTATTATACCAAAAAGAAAAACCACTTGAGTTTTCTGTTGCTAGTTTTAAATGGCTTGGGAATTTTTGTGTTTTGTTATATTTATGTGCAATTTTTTCCTTGTATTCAGTGGAAAAAAGTTTTTGTTTTTTAAGAAAAGTGTATAGAATTCTATTTTGTGTGTTGAAGCAACAATAGATGGCTGTCCTCTTCTGGGGAATATCAGTGCAAGAGATCCCCCATTCCGGAGATGGCGCTTGCTGTTGGGTTCCTATAAATCATTCTGTTTTTGTTACCTGTCCACAAGCAGTCCCAGGCAAACGTGACTATTCTGAGAATCAGGTGGTTTTCCATTCCAGAATTGACACTTTTATTTCCATCTTGCAAGGGGTATCATTCATTCAAGGCTGCTCCAGCAAAGGATTGTGCTGTTTGCAGAATTTGGTCTCTATTTCCTCCAACAGTGCAAAATAAGCTTTAAAGCTTTATACAACCCCCCTCCCTTGATATTTGGGGAACTATAGATGTTGCGTGCACAATCATATTATCCCAGATGAAGCTGGTTGTCTGAAAGGACCCAGTGAACAATAATTTATGCAGCACACTCAGTGGGCAAGCTAGATCTCTCCTGCTTGTCCCGTGAACACTGGCTATGGAGTCCATCCCTTATCCAGTGTTGGCTCATCCCTTTGCACAGGGTTTCCCAAACTTGGGTCTCCAGCTAGTTTTGAACTACAACTCTCATCATCCCCAACCACTGGCCCTGCTAGCTACGGATGATGGGACTTAAAGTCCAAAAACAGCTGGAGACCCAAGTTTGGGAAACCCTGTTAGGGTAAGTGGGGCACTGCCCCACCAACCTCAATGTGCCCCCCAACCACCTCCCAGTTTTCTTGTATCCACTAAGGCTTGGCTGGGCATTTCACTGTATCTGTCCCCATCTACAGCTGGCCTACCTCCCGCCCTGTCAGTCCCAAAGGGCACCAAAACACACTGTACTAAGTAGACCGTGTCCAGCTTTCTGACTCACACCACATAGTGACATTAAGATGGGGGTCAAAACTAATTTGCTTCATGGAAGGCAAACTCACCTTGTTGCTCTGAGTAGCCCCTGCAAGTTCTTGCTAGAGCAGGCCCAATAGCCTCTGCCTGTCCTAGGGATGGATTGCAGTCTCACCTCTGGGTAGATGGAGAGTATCTTGTCTTCCTTTTCGTTGCTGGTTAATCAGAGAGGGCAGACTCGCAGGAAAAGCAAATGCACTGACTTCTGGCGCAGTTCATTAAATGTGCCCAAGAGAACAGCTTCTTGCACTCTCCTCTGTGAGGGCTTGTGCAGGAGCTTTTCCTGACAAATCTCTGCCACAAAATATTTAAAGGAATCTTTCCATGACTGTTCAGTAATGACCGGTGCTATTATGTCTTGGAATGGTTCTTTTAATTTTGTTTTTTGGGCAGTGGGAGGGATATCCTGTAAATTTGGGTGGGTTTTTTTTTCCCCCTAAGCATGTTTTGCAGAAGATTTGAAAGCCTCCATTTTCAGTGCACTCCAGCTCTCACATATTCATTCTCCTCTAGGCTGGCACTCGGCAGAAAGCCCAGAGGATAAAGACTTCACTCTTGTTGTTTCTCCAGACTGTAAACGTGTAATTAGTAGTATAGCTAAAGGATTTTTTAAGAAGTTCTTTCCTGTATTTGTATGTCTGTAAATACATTCCATAGTTTTCAAAGACTATATAAACATCATAATATCATGTACTTTATTTTAAATTGCCTGTATGCTACCAGTCAATTTCTAGCGCACATGATATTATAAACTTCAAACCTGGGTGATTTGAAATAAAGGCTGAAGCTTTAAAACCTGTGTTTGTGAACAGAAGCATTTATTCCGCAGTGGGTTTGTCCAGTCTCTCACGTGCCTTTGATTGCTTCTCTCCTGGGAGAGGGAGCAGCCTTGTTCCTTTGCTTGTTCAACATCACAACACCAAATGTGTTGCTGCTCCCAAGGGCTCATCGTGTTCTTGTAGGATCAAGTTGGGATCCTATTCTGCATATGCAGCATGTGTGATTATTAGAGTAGTTGTCATATTAATAATTACTTGGTTTTGCTAGTTTTCTAAGGTCTTCACGTACATGTCCAATATAGGAACCACTCCTAGGGTCCAAGGTCCCTTCAGCCCCGCCCCAATAAAAAATTTGAGGCAGCTACCCCCCCCCATTGATGGACATTGCCATTTAAATGGTCTTGTGATTCATTATGTGGGGCATCTATATCTGCACCCCCTCCAACATTTTATTCCGTTTGGCACCCTTGATGTCCACTTATCACCAGCGACATTCTTCATGGTATGTCTCCATGCAGTTAAAGCTTAAAAAGGTAATTTACACGAGCAATCCTGTGGAGATGACAAACTATTTTTCTTTGCAGCTTTCCTGAGCTCGAGCAGAGGGTGGGGAGACAAGATACAAGATTGCATCGTATGGTCCAGGGTAATTAACACAAAATGTTGGTATGGCCTGTTCACTTTCAAAGCAGGAAAAATAGAACCAGCAGCTTCAATGCTCTTCTGCTGACTGGGACCAAAATAGCAAGATCTCGCTGGCTCAAGCCGAGTGCTAAAAGCTTTTATTAATTCTGATCCTTTCAGCAAAGACATACAATTGTCCCGTTCCTTCATCCCACAAAACCGTGTTGCCCAAACGCCCAGTGTGGAGATGGCGCAGGAGCTGGGCTCTGTTCCCATCACTTTTTCTTCTTCGCTCCAGGTTTCCCTTTGCCCTTCTTCCCCTTCTCTTTGGGCGGCTGCTCTTCTTCCCAGAGTTTTTTGAGGGCCTTGTAAGGGCCAAGGAATCTGCGGACCATCATCCCTCTCCACCAGGCCTGCAGCTGAAAGCAAGGAAGAGGAGAAGGGTTGTGCATGCAGGAAGGAGACACCGGGTGCCCACACCACCTTCCAGCTGCTGCTCAAGCTTTGCCAAAAATGGGCTCCCAGAAATGACTGCTGTGCAACAAGCCCAGTTCCCCTAGGCTGCCCCCCCACCTCTCTAATGAAGCAGGGCTGGCTTGAGTCCAGCGTTCCATCTGCTGCCTGTCTGCTCCAAGTCAGCCACAGCATCTAATGCCCACATTTATCCCATCGCTGCCAGCTCAAGCTGCAGAAAGGCGCAGCCTTGGATACGCTCCAAGAAAGCATCTTGAGTGGGAAATAAATGACATCTGTTGCAGAATGTCCCTGGGCAGCCAACATCCAAAGGCACGCTGCTGCCTGCACTGAGGAGAGCAAGGATTGGGTTTTGGCTATCCATGAAGCCAAACACAAGGCTGCTTCTCACTTCTGCAATATGGTCATGCCTGGATGAGCAGGTTCTGCACTTGTTCAAATATGCTGCTTCATGTGGTACGGCAAGGTCTGCTATTCATGTAAACAACTGATAAACAAATTATACTTCATGCTGCACCCTAGCTAACTGTTGGCTAGAAAGAGCTACAGAAATGGCTATGGACCCCACAGTGTTTCTGGCCTCACTTAATGTTGTTTTCCTATATGCATGTTTTCCCCTCTTCCAGGCCAGTCCTGCAGCTGATGGAACTGAAAGTGCTGGCCTCTGGCTAGATAAGACTGTTCTTTGCGACACAATCTGTGGCTGCCTGTTTTGCCATACAAGGATGCTCCGGGGAAGACCCTGCTTCTTGTTTAGCTGATGATACAGTGGTGCCTCGCAAGACGAAATTAATTCACGAGTTTTGTCGTCTTGCGATTTTTTTCCGTCTTCCGAAGCACGGTGTCGGGAAAGTTTTGGAAAAGCTTCAAAAAATCACCAAAGTCTTTAAAAACCTCAAAAAAGGCTACCACACCACGTTCTATGAGTTGCTCCTCGAAGTCAAGTCGCAACTGTATTAACGGTGTTAAGAAAAAGGAAACAAACTTGCAAGACGTTTCCGTCTTGCGAAGCAAGCCCATAGGGAAAATCGTCTTGCGAAGCAGCTCAAAAAACCCTTTCGTCTAGCGAGTTTTTTGTCTTGCGAGGCATTCGTCTTGCGAGGTACCACTGTACCTTTCTGAGGAAATGGCTGTTAGGTTAGGGAGAAGTGCTGGAGGAGATTGGAGAGAACCTCCAAGCACCCCTACAGAAGCAGATGATTCTACCACCATGCTCCCCGCTTGGCACATTTTTAAGCACATAAAAGGATTAGAGATCTGGAGCCCTGAAAGGGGAAGCCATGAGATAGAGCAGCCTTCCCCAACCGAGGGCCCCCCAAGCGATTTGCACTGCAACTCTCAGCCCCAGTCAGCATGGCCAGCAAGGGGTGGTTCAGCAACATTGGGGGGGGGGGGAGCTATACAAAGCAAAGGAGATGATCTGCTCCACATGTTGGGAGAGGGGCAGAAGACATGGTGGAGGAAGAGCTATTCTCCCCACCCCCGCTTCCAATTTTTAGTCCCAGGACTCCAAAGGTAAGGCTATATTGACTCATCTTACCTTCAGGATACTCTTCAACTCCAGAGCGTCCTGTTCTACTTTCTTCCTTGCATTCTCCTTTTCCTTCCGGTCCTCAATTATAGCTTGTTCGCATATAAGACACTGTAGAATGCAAAGACACCTTTAACTTGAGCTTGGAGGTGGGCTTTCGCTGTCACCTCTCACCCCTGGACTCCTTCCTTAGCTTTCTAAGGTCCCTAGCAAATTGGAGCAGCAGTGAGGATGTGTGGAGAGAGCGACCCCACATATAGCTGCCGTGGATCACCAACGGACCAAGGAGCCTGACCATCAGCTTTGTTCCCTACCTGCTTGGCCAGTTCCTGTAGCGCTGCCTGGTCAGCTGCTCTGGAGGCCTTCAGGGAATTGAGCTCTTGCTGCTTGGCTTCTGTATCCCTCTCGTACTTGTCCATCCAGTACTCCAGCTTCTCTTCTATGCTCTGCGACACACACAGGTGGACACTTCACAACACTCCGCATTTGTCTCCTGACCATTCCGGGGCATGGCTTAGAGCCCGTCGCCTCATGCAATGACATGATATTGGAGGACTTGCAGAATGAGGTGCTTGGTGGGGATTTGGGGATGATCAGCTTATCACCTTGTCTAACTCTCTGTTGCTGTTGGAACACTATTTCAGAGCCAAAGCTCTGTGTCATTTCTTGTATGTACACAAAGCAACTGAAGGGAACGGGGATGATCTGTGCATGCAAGGTGTGTAAGGAACAGCAATAAGGGGAAGAAACAAGAGTCATGGGGAACTGGAATGGGCAATAGGCTGCGGTGTGCAGCACCTTAGATGCTTTCTAAATCTGAAGTTCCCTATGAATTCCATCCCCAAGATATCTTTTGTCTGAGACCCCTGAGATGGTCAACTTGTGTGCTGGCAGCTCTATTCCGCTTGCCCGAAAAGATGGGGTACAAAGTAAAGAGGCATTTATTGTGCAGGGTGTATTTTGAACGGAAGAGCAATCGTATGAGCCACATGCACACACAAACACACCTGCCATGTGCAGTTTAAAGTGGTACAGCTCAGCCTCAGGGTTCTAGGCCTCTGATCTTTAGATACAGTAGGGTCTGGATCCACTTGCTAGCTCAACCCATAGGAAGTGTATGTCAATAGAAAGTAATGATTTGAATTAAGGGTGGGGATCACATAAACCTCTGAAGAACAAGGAAGTAGATCTAGCAGTTGGCTGGAGAGTGGATGGCATTACAAAAAGTTATAGCGCAAAAAGAAGACCTGTAGCCTCTAGATGTTGGACACCAACTTCCATCAGCCTCGCCAGCATGAACAGTGGTTAGGACAGATGGAAGCTGTAATCCAACAACAGCTGGAGTGCCACAGGTTCCACATCTCTGAGCTCAATGGGGCACCAGAAAGCTTTGTGCCACCTACCTTTTGCTGCTGCTTAAGGAAATTCTCAATGTCCATGTGGACTCTTATCTCCTGCTCAGTTTGATTTCTCAATTTCTGTAATGGGAGAAAGACGTTGCATCAAACTTTATTTGGTTCTAAGCAAATGCCAAGAGGGTTCCCCTGAAGACCTGGGGAGTGCATGCACCACATCCCTCTCTATGCCATGTTGCAGAGTGAGTTTATGGTCCAGGCGTAGTATAGCTGTACCAAAAAAATGGTCAATGATGCCATCCCTAAATTCTGCCCTTGTTTTCACTGCTGCCAGCCCCATGTCATGACTTGGCTAGCCGTACAGTGATTGAAGGTTGAAAGAAGACCAACAGAAACTGAGAACATGGGGCAATGGGTGGCGCTGTGGGTAAAAGCCTCAGCGCCTAGGGCTTGCCGATCGAAAGGTCAGCGGTTCGAATCCCCGCGGCGGGGTGCGCTCCCGCTGCTCGGTCCCAGCGCCTGCCAACCTAGCAGTTCGAAAGCACCCTTAAGTGCAAGTAGATAAATAGGTACTGCTCCAACGGGAAGGTAAACGGCGTTCCGTGTGCTGCGCTGGCTCGCCAGATGCAGCTTCGTCACGCTGGCCACGTGACCCGGAAGTGTCTCCGGACAGCGCTGGCCCCCGGCCTCTTGAGTGAGATGGGCGCACAACCCTAGAGTCTGTCAAGACTGGCCCGTACGGGCAGGGGTACCTTTACCTTTACCTTTAAGTCAATTGAATGTGAAAACCAAGAAGAATATCCTGCATATGAGCCGGGTAGAACATTAAATTTGCATGCAACAGGCCCCAAATCCCACTCCTTGCTATTTAGGATCAGGTAGCAGGTGATGGGGAGGACCCTGCCCAAGACCTCAGAGGGCCTCTGCCAGTCTGAATGGAGAAGCAGTCTGACCTGATATAATGTAGTTTTCTATTAATACCAAGGTTAGCCCTTGACTTGATCGGGAGTTAGATCATCTGCTGCTCACTTAATCT